GAAATAAAGGTAACCGAAGCCTTGACTTTGGGATCTATAGAAGCACGTATCCAACCTATAATCATCGAGTTCACTGCAACCCAACTTTCATAGTCTTGACTCTCTATTGATGGTTTCTTCAAAGTTCCATTAATGAAGCCTATTTTACGTTTGGTTTGAAGTGCATTAAGCATCTCATTAGCCCATTAATTATAATTCTCTCCATTCAACATGACTGGAGTAATCATAGTTCCTGGATTATCGGAACCATACAACTTGTACAGTGACATAGCGGCTACCTCAGCCGTGACTTCTCCAGTTTTCGCGACAATACTTGACGTCTCTTCTGCTTCACTTTTGCCACCATCGTTGGCCATCGTGACTAACGAACTCTTTTCAAACTTTGAACCTTAACGAAAGCTGAGAACTTAATTTAGGTTAAAAAGATCTAAGCTCTGATACCATGTAGAATTAGATATTAAACTTGCTTGTTTATTCACATCGACCTTGAGTCATATATATACACATTGAGAGAATCCGTTTCCTATCACAACCAGGAAACTTAATGATTGAGACAAATCATCATTATCTACTTATCTAAATAATATACACACTTATCTTAAATATACATGTTTATCTCCAATATGTATGATTAGTAACCCATTTACTTGTAACGACTTTATTTTCTCTTAAACATATTTTCAGACGATCAATTTTTTTTTTTAATATTGGTTAATTATGTTATTACAAATTAGAGAAAAACTTCTTCTTTGGGTTTGTATTTAACAAAAACATTTTGTCGTTATATTTTTTCTTACAAAAATAAGTGATGCAGTAATTAATTTACGATTTGATTTATTTAAATTTAAACAAAAATTGCGCAACACGTTTGTATAGTTTTGGTATATTATTTAGTAAGTATCTCTTAGCTAGCTTTTTCTTTAGTCATTTTTCTTTACATAAGCATTACATCTACAACTAAAAGTGAACGTGATGTTGAAAATATATACTTCTTGCAATAGTATCACCACCCCACATGATAATGGGATTAAATTCGAAACTTCGTTACAAACTTACAATCAACGGTGATCATTAATCGACGTCTATTTATTTACTAAATTCTAACACTTTTGTACTTTGATATTCTTGAATATATACATTTATGTTAAATTCTCTAGCTTGTCATATTTATGTTACTGTATATAACAGATAAACTGTGGATGAAATTGGTGCCTACTAGATATTTATTTGCAGTGCATTGCTCGTTCGGTTTATTATATGATCCATCTTGTTGTAAGATAATTTTGCTACATGTATATGATAGTCAATTTATGTTTCATAGGTGGTGGGTACTCCTAAGACTCCTACCCCATAAAAATGAAGAGATAAAAAAAGATTATTCAACGAATTGGGTTTCCCTTAGAGAGGGGTAATACAAGTCTTCAAGGAAATAAATTCTAGAACATAACTGCCAACATTCAGAATGGCAGTATTCACATCAATGAATGACTGAAACCTACCCATTTCGTCTAAATGATTTTCTATGTACAATCACTTATCAATCTTTGCCGACATTTTGTTTAGTTTTAGTCTGTGGTTAAAAGCTAAACCAGTACATTTTTAGTCTCAAAGTGCTGCACAAGTTTAGGGGTGTGTTCTTATCCCAAGTCTAAACTTCATCTCAAACATTTCTATTTCTTCTTTGGGATGCGAAAATGAAGCACAATGATATGTTCAATTGATCATGCATACTTACCAGTTCTAAGTAATATTGAACAACCCATGAGTGATGGTCATAATAAGCTTTACAAGTCAGTTATGTATTGCGAAATTGATATAGCAAGCTGTGAAAGGCCAGCTAAAAACAGCTATTATGAAAACATGGACTTTAAAAGTTTAATTAAATTTCATTTAAGATTATAGGTTAGGGTTTAATTTTTAGTTTTTCTTTATAAAAGGGCATTTTCTAACTTTTTTTGTCCAACAATAGTCTTTGTTTTCTAACATTTCCAAAACTTATATAAGTATTTTATGGTGAACACTTAATTAGTAATAAAGATTATAAGTAACCGCAGATTCATACCTGGGATATATTCCTAAACTCGGATCGAAACGACGAAACCACATTAGCTATTAATGAGATCTTCATCTTCTTCAACAAGTGATATTCCTAAATTTGTAACATGAAAATGGCAGTAGATAAATTACTCAGACATTATTTGAACATATCTACGAAGAAAAATATCATTTTACGTTAATCTGTTGGTTAAAACTTAAAAAGACGCAGTTCAAAAAAAAAAAAAAAACTTAAAAAGACATAGAATCCAAAGAGTTGGTGTATAATGGGTAAAAGACAAATAGGAGCTGAGAGTAAAAAGCAGTCAAAAACACAGAGGGACTTAGCTAGTGACAGTGCAGCAAAGCTTCTCACACATCCATGTCTCAACTCAAATCATATTCTCTTGAAACCTTACCACGTTCATTCACATGCATGCCTTTCCATTTTAAATTATTATTATTATTATTCTTGTAGAGCTAGTACTTTTTTTTGCTCAAGTAGAGTTAGTAATTTATCTTTCTTGTTTTTTTGCGTAGTAACATACTAGCTTATTTTCTTCCTTTTCACGGAATGTTGGGTTAGCCTATAATCTTGTTATATGATCCAAGACTGGAACCAATCTTCAATATACCTGAAACAACTCCACAAAGCTATCTTCTAGGCTCTAGCCAAGTTTGAACTTGAGGTAAAACACTGTATTCTCAAATCGGTAGGTATACTTTTAATTTTTGTTTATTATACAGTTACCAAATATTAAAATTAAATTTATATGTTACTGTCACTCTCTCTCTCTCTCTCTCTCTCTCTCTCTATATATATATATATATATATATATATAAATAAATAGCATGGTCTGTTCATCGTTAGAATGGAGGTCGTTTGTTTGATTATTCTTTTTTGTTCAACTTTGTTTGATAATTCTCTTCAAGCCTTTTGAAACATATTGAAATCAAATCAATTTACATAATATATGTAAACAATTCATCGTTTCTTAATCGATGAATTGTCACTTTGACTGTCGTACTTGTGTGCTAGGTTTGCAGACAACATTTTATTATCGCCGTGCTTAATTACTTGACTAATTTGCAAGATTGAAGAACGTTTTTTTTTTGAAAAAAGGCTTAGGATTGAAGAACGTTGTAACGTATATTGTTGGTTTATGATCAACCTACTGTATGTAAACAGTAGTAGGAGTTGAAATTATAGTATATTGTCTAATGATATTCAACGCCCTTTATATTTGGGTCTTTTTAAACTTTTGAATCAGGAGTATATTATTGGTTTTTGTAGTGTTTAATGCAAAGTCCGACTTTATTTAAAAGCTTCAAATTCAAAATGCGAGAGTGGCAACTTTAACACTATTCAAGTACTCATAGTGAAGCTGGAACAAACTTATGATCTATTTATAAATTATTCGTGATTCGGTATATATGCTATCTGTAAGTAATCATTTTGAAACAAATCATAAGAATGTGTGTATTATGATCCCAACTATATTATTACTTTCGTTACCACCACACCAGTGAAATGCTATCATTGTTTTTAACTGTTAATAAATAATATAATGGTGTTTAACTAACCAAATAAAGATTTTGAGCCCAAAAGGGATTGGTACTCACCCTTTCAATATGCGAAGTAAATAAAACAACAAGCAAATAACAGTTTTTTTTTTTTTGAAAAATGGCTAACTATCAAATACTAGTTTCATAAATCATTGTGATACTTTATAATATAGACATTTATTTATTACAATTAATACATATAAAACAACTAAAATAGAAATCTAATTTTCAGTTTCAGTACGAGATATTAGACAAACTTTACAAACAACTTGTTTTGAATTTCTGTTTTTTGAAAACAATATTTGAAAAGTTAGTACATTCATTTATAGGCGATGATTACATTATGTCAAATACCCAACCATTTTGACCAATGTTTCCAAGAAAATCATCAAAAATATTTTAAAATAATGCTTTTCTATAAAATGCTTAATGTTAAGTATTTCTTCAAAAAAACAATTCCACAAATCAATGGTAGAAAGACTTCTACAAACTATATAAAATGCGAAGATGAATAAAAATTCAACCCAAAAGCTAGAAAAAAAAAAGACTTTTGCCTAACTTTAGAGAAATAAAATATTTGTTTCTGACTTTTTACCCAAAAGAGAAGAAAAAGGCATATCTTATAAGTGAAGGGATTGCGAATTTTGCAACATGAGGTACCCCACTACAAAAGGACAAGAATCATGAATCATATTATTCAATTCATCAATCCTTCTTAATAAATACTATATTAGACATTAGTATACATACATAAATCAACTATATAGAAAATTAGAAATAGGGAAAACGTAGACAGTTGTGATCCGAAAAAGAAACGGAGAAAAGTCATTAATTTAACCAAAAGCAGAAAGTTCGTCCCCAAGCATTGAAAGAGGGTCAAAATGGACCCCTTCAGATTCATTTATAAAAATATTTTCCCCACAACAATTAATTATATACTCCAAAATAAATATTCTGAAATGCAGTTAATGTTTAAGAAGTAATGATCTTTCATTAAAACAAAACACAGTATTCAATTTCGTATCCAGAAAATACGACACAAACAATTATTTGTAAATTGTTAAAAACAATGAAAAAGAGATCTTTAATGTATTGTCATAAATATGGTCGTGTGTATGTGTGGACTCTTCTGTTCTCAAGGGGTCATCTTTCTCTTTCATTAGTTGCCAAACAAGTAGGAACAGAGTCTATGTTCACATTATCATTACTATGAATTCTATAAACACCAATTTTCATATTATCTTGATCAATGTGAAATGTTAATATTTGGTTATATTCTCTTTGGCCTCTTTCTTCTTTTGTTCACATTATGTTCTTTACTTTCTTCTACAAGTTGCCAAATAGGATAATTGGATAAGATCATGGCATATTAACAAAAGGGAATGAAGATAAGAAAAAGGCAAGACACCAAACATATAGTCCATATAGATTGAAAAAGAAAGAGGAACAAATATCAAGATTCATAGTTAAACATGATTGATTTTAACACAAACATTTAATTATAGAAAAGTAAAAGCAGCAGGCAATTCTCCTTCTCTTGCCTTCACCTTACTCAAAAACATTGAAGGTGAGAATTAAAGAAAACTGAAAACATAAAGTAAACCAAACCAAAACTCCATCCCATATAGATTAGAGTAAAAAAAAAGAAGATCCATTATGATTCTATTTGAACCGGTGAATCTTCAGTTATGCTAACAAACCTGATTCCTAATCCCATGAAGCTGCTAAAAAAGGGTTAGCTTGAGATATAAACACATTGCAAGATCTGATCTTCTTCCATTGGCTAATGCTACCTTGAAGAGTTGTCTTAGTCATAATCTCTCTCTCTCTTTAACCGTTAGACATCAGTTCTCCAAGGCTGCAACTTTAGCCCTATGAGCTGCAGACAACACCACCGAGTTGTTACTCTTCCCTCTTTCCTCATGTCCATACTCGCAAGAGTCAGTCACAGAACCGGTCTTGAGATCAGCTGGTGGGATAAAACAATCAAGAGACAAACCAGGAACATTAAACGCAACTTCCTCAATAGTCCAGCTCTCTTCCATCTTCGTCCTCGTGTGACTCATCGCAACTTCACCAAACCTAAAAAGGGTCACAACCGAATGTCCCGAATGAGCTATCATGATCCCTTCCACCTGGCGGTAATCATCTAACGAAGAGTTGTAAGTAGTCTCCCAGAAAACAGTATCTCCACCGTTGGATTGGATCCTAGTCAGATGTGAATCCTCTATATGAACCAAGAGACCTGTCTTCTGACTAAAGTAGCCAGAGAGAACATGTCTTATGATCTCAGCTGGTCCTTCACTCCTCGCCTTCAAGGTCTCAGGGTCAGTACAAAGCTTCAGAATAAAGCAATCTTCACCGTTCACATTCTTCTCTCCTATACACTTCGCCTCCGCAAACATAGCAGCAGTAGTTCTCGGATCAAGTCCCTGAGATCATTACCAAAAACACTAAGAAACAAATAAAAAGGATCTTTTAAAGTTTTTTTTTTTTATTATTACCTGAAGTCCACGTCGGAGAGGTCTAACAGGTCCTTTAGCGGTATGAGAACCAAGCCAAGGAGTGTGTCTCCAGACAAGCTTCCCATTACAACCAGCACGAACTTTATTACCACCAACAGCAAGCTCAACGTACCACATGTCTGGATTCATCTGCCAGAGAACAAAACCTCCACTCTCAGCTTTAGACGGGTTCCGGTTCCTTACGGTTCTCGTCGCGGTCTGAATCTCGGAAGTGATCATCTTTAACTTCCCCATAGCGTAAGCGTTTTTAATAGAGTTTTGAAGCTTCTGTCCACCGGAAGCTGCAGTGTACTGTTGAAGTATGTACTGAGCAGATGATGTCTCCTGCAAGAACCAAAAAAATTACTACTAAACCCAAAACGACGTCGGTTTACCACTAAACCAAAAAAAAAGAAAAAGGTGAGATTTTTCTATAGAGACTAACGATTGGTGTGTTTTTGATGCTGAGGTGAGGCAAAGGGTCAGAGGAGGAGACGTGAATGGGAGCTAACGGAGCTCCCATGACACCCAAAAGAAGCCTCAGGTCGTTTCTCCGGTAAGCAGCGGTGGCGGCAACAGAAGGAGCGCGAGAGAGCTGTCCTTTGACCCAGTTTCCAAGACCCGACCCGAGGCGTTTCGAATCACCAACACTCTCTACTCCTCCTGCTTCTTCGTCTGGATCGGGTCCTTCCATGACGGGTCTCAAGCTTCCGGATCTCTCGATTAAAAGCTCCGGTTGGGTTACACAGTACCCCGCGCCGTGAGTGAAGTTCTTTCTCCCCCAGGAGAGAGCTTTGATGGGGGAGGAGGTGGAACGAGCGGGGCTCACGGAGCGAGACCTTGTCCTTGAACGCGACGGAGAGAGACCTCTGAGAGCAGAGAAGAATCCTTGTTTTTTCTCCATGGACATTAAAACTTCGTCTTTCTTCCCCTCGTAACGTTAAGCAACAAAAGGGTTTGAGAGAGAGAGTCTGCTTAAGAGAGGGAGAGGAGAAAGATTTGATTTTTTTTTTTTTTTTTTGTTCTTCTTTCTTCCGAGTCTCTGCAGTGGAGCGAAGAGAGAGTTTATGAAAGGAGAGAAGGAAAGCGAAACGAGAGAGAGAGAGAGAGAGAAAGACAGTGATCTCCGGGTGTGTTTAATGACTATTTTACCCTCTAGTTATTCCTGGAATCTCCAACACGCGCTCACTGGATTGTTCCCGCGCGTAGGATATATTCGTTGATTTCTGTCCAACCTGGATACGCATGATGGACACGTGTGAGAAGGTGAAGGGCGAGTGATGGGAGATAATGGTACTCGCGGTAGTGTTGTGAGGTTCGCGCCGTGAAGGATCTATTTTGTGTGTGTTTTAACGGTTTCCGTTAATTTTCGGAAACAAGAGAAGACAATGTCGTCAAGTTCACAGTGGAAAAAAGATAAATTTTGGGAAAGTGGCAGCGGTGAATTAGGATCAGTTTGTTACTTTTTAAACCTGCATCCTAAATTCGCTTTGTACTGTCATTTTCTTTATGAGGAAAAAAAATCAAAATTATTTGCCAATTCATTCTTCGTAATCTGTACTGTATAAATGTTGTTATAGAAAATGTCGTTCTGTAATCAAAATTATTTGCCAATTCATTCTTCTGTAATTATTTGCCAATTCATTCTTCTGTGATCAAAATTATTTGCCAATTCATTCTTCATTCTTCTGTAACTATTTGCCAATTCCTTCTTCTGTAATTATTTGCCAATTCCTTCTTCAGTAAGTGGTGTTTCAAAAGTAAGAGAAAATGTAAACTGTTTACTGTACATAGTTTTTTAATATTTTATTTTGTTGCTCAACAGTTTAGTGTACATAGTAATGAACTCGAGCAATAGGAATATTCGAGCGGACGTACTAGCAAACTAAGCAAATATCAGATGTTATATCTTTTATCAGATAGATCAGATCCGATTAGATAGAGGTGTTCCTCGGAAAATCAGGTCGTCTAACCACCGCTTAATCTAGTTTAGATGGGCGGTTGACGGAAAAAAAATTATGAATTCTACTTTAGAAATTATCATGTTTATGTATTTAAATCTAGAGATTTGAGGTGACTTGATAAAAAAAATTGATCACGTGGTAAATATAGAACGGAACTAATGAAATAAAGATGCTTTCATAAATCATAAATCCATCTCCTTCATCTTTTATCACGTTTTTATTGATCTTAACTTCTAAATAAACAGTTGATCTCGAATATTGTAATACAATACTAATATATCATGAACTGCAATCTCTCGTCTTGACTATGTCGAAACCCGTAAACAATTCAGTTTTTTCTTTTTTTTTTTGATAAAAAAAAATGATTTCATTTTTTTGCCGGAATCTAAACATTATAAATAGTCTCTCTCAATGTGAATTTTATGACCTCCAATAGAATTAAACTCAAATAGTGAAATATACAGCCACAATCCCTTTACCACTAAGTAAACTTAACGTTAGTCTGTATTTGGTTTATTCCCCAGCTGTTGAACAGTTTATCAATTACAGATGTGAAATAAACATTTCTAATCAAGTAATGATTCTGATAATTTATATATTTCACGAATGTAAATAGTATATAAGATATGAAGGCTTTGGATTTTTATAATTGAAGTACTGTGTTTCTTCAAGAGAAAGGAACAAAAAAGAGGTCTTAGGAGAGGGTCCTTCTTTTATCCGACAGAGAGAACAACCATTTGTGTGTGTTTTCATTGGCCAATTGCGTAAAGATAGCAACTCTTCCTCTTATATATGTTTCAACTAAAAAATTGTAGTTTATTCACTGTTAACACTTTCGTTCTGTAATGTAATAATGACTGAATAGATTCCTCACCTCGACATGCTTAGGGCATAATGTGATTATCATTTTGGCTTCTTATACAATCCAATATATAATAGTAGCATGAGCTTTTCTTATTAGAGCTTCTGCATCATCACAATTCGTAATCTCAGAACTATTAATTTTGTTTTAGTATTATCCTTTAATTAGGTTTGTAGTATATGTAATATGCATAACCTCTACCATAAAGTTCCTAAAAAAAACTTCTATTTACTTCCAAATGAAAAGCTTCAGAAAAAAAACTAACGAACATAGGTTTAGTTGGTAAAACTATTGGATTACCTAGTAGATTTTAGAGGTTATACGTTTAAATACTTTTAAAAGTTTAAATTCCAAATATAAGTTAAATTACATAGCTATATATTTTAGATCTCGTCCTAGAAGAATATACGGTGTTACAGACTTAAATTTCAGACCTATTCATTTTAAAATAAGTTTCAAACCAACACTAAAATGTTTCATACAGGGGACTATGGGCTCCAACATCCATCGTGGCTTTTCTTTTGCAGGAATAATAACTAAACCATGAAATGTTCATTATAATATCCATTTAAGTTCATTCATATGTTTGCTTTGGATTTACGGAATCGATCTATTTAATATCTCGTACAGTTGTTATAAAGGTTTTCATCTCCACTCCCACAAAATCATTAACAGAAAACCTCCAAGAAAAGATTTACGTATGTCTCTATCTCATTCACTTAAACGATAAAAGGAGCTTAGATGTCCCAATCTCATCCCATGTGACGAGAACTTTGTATTAAGGTTAAACAGGCGTAAGATTCTCTCTGATTAAGTAATCTTTCCTTTTTCAATTAATGATTGATTTTAGTAGTTATATAACTTTTTTTTACAATCAAGACTCCCAGGCATGCATCCACTCCATTCTAGCAGTAGCTAGGACTGAGATTTAATACCTGCTATCGCTATCCGATCCGGGATCCGTTCCAATCCGCTCCGAAAAAATGGATATTCGGGGGATCCGGGTCCGGATCTGGATAGTGATTTTACGGATCCGGCGAATCTGGATCCGGATCAGGATAGTGAAATTTTTAGTCCGGATATCCGGATCCGGATTCGGACCCACTAAATATTTTAAAATATTTAAATATAATTATATTTATATAGGTATATTATATATTTTTATGGAAAATAACTAAAACTTAATTTTATTATTAAATTATATTACCTTATTTTAACTTTTTTAAAATAATATTTTGTAATAGAATAAATAAATACTTAATTTTTAATTTAATTTAAAAATTTTTATTTTTATTTTTAGAAACGGATCCATATATCCATGGGCATTCGAGTTTTAATCCGGATCCCGGATATCCGGAAGGCCCGAATCCGAATCCGGATAGCAATTTTACGGATCCGCCGAATCCGAATCCAGATCTGGATATCACAAAATACCTCGAATATCCGATCTATCCTACCCCTAGCAGTAGCAGCCCACCTTTGCCCTAAGTTCCTAACTACACCTGAACCTATCAATGGTATCACTAGTTAAGTCTTAATCAAGCATTAACCATACCAGGAATATACTGTTCATCTTTATGAGTCAGAGAAGATTTATAAATTTGTTTTATTTACTTTTGTTTAATGTGGGATTATCCCACATCTATGAAAAGATTCAAATTAATTTTTAAAATAGATGTAATCCACGAATAGACTTTTCTCTGAAAATTTAAATACTCTAAAATATGATTAATATTTATATTAAATGACCATGAATAATTGTGACTTAATTTTATGCAGAAAATATCGAAACCATTCCAATCCTACCTTCGAATCACAAGGTCAACATTTATAAAATTTATGTTCGGCTAGTTATGGTGTAGTGGTTCTTGTAAAATATAACATGTTGAACCTGAAGATGCAAATTAGTTCGTGAAGTACTACAGGAGGTAGTACATGTGTGTCATGAAGATGGGCTATGCTGGAGTTCGTGTTTCTTGATGAGTGTGGGCTTGCTGGGATTGGAAAAGGAAAGAAGATATGTGTTTGAAGACATATGGACGTTTTCCATAAAGCAAAAGGATGTTTGCTTGAAGATGAAGTTTTCCATTAAAGATATGGAAAGTTGCATTAAGTGTATTTGGAAGACTTGAAGAGCAAGTTCAAGACGTGGAGAGCAAGTTCTGGTCTGCTATATAAGGAGGGACGTGCCTTATGAGAAAGGTAGACCTCATAGAAGAGAGAGAGGATCTCATTGTATATTGGTGTTATTTGCTTGGTGTCGAAGCAGTGTCTGAAGTAGTTTCCGATGGAGTCCGATGTGGACTTAGTTTGATGGCGTTCGTGGTGACTTTGGTATGGTGGAGTTAGCCACCGTGTGTAGCTCGTGGTGAGTTGTGTGTGTGCTTGGGTGATCAAGCGTTTGGTGTCACTGGTGTGCGTTGGGTGCTGACGTATTTAGTGAAGTACTTCCGAGAAGTGGAAGATTGAAGCCTAGAGTTAGGGGGAGTTTAGCAACGGAGGTTTTATTGAAGAGGTCTGTGAAGATTGCACCTGTAGAAGACAGTGTGCTCTGACGCGCCCAGATGGTGTTATATGCATGAATGCTGATACCTAATCTTTGTAGATTGCTTCTTAGAAAAGAGTGGTAAACACTAGTGTGTGTGTTGTACCATATAGCAATTGTAGGTTACTCCTTGTTCTAAGTCAATAAAATCTGGACGAGGTCCCGGGGATCTAGGAAACGAACCCCGTTAACAAATTTGATGTGTCTTACTTTCTGCACTATATTTTTCGTCGTCTCATCTACATAAACAGAACCCACATCCTTCACTTAACGTCATGAAAAAGAAGTTGTAATCAATAGTTAATAAATAAAATTAATCTTTAGATAGTTAATGTAATAATTCACTAACGTTTGAAGCGTGAGAAGTAGAAGGACAAGCAGCACGTGAATGTCTTTGAAATTCGCTTAGAATGGTCAAAAGAGCAAGAAGAGAATAGAAAGAAAAAAAACGCATACGCGTTAACTTTTTCAGTATGATAGTGGTTACAGCTAAGGTAGGCTCATTTTAAAGTATAAAAAGTTCTTTGGGTCGATGAAAAACATTAAAATTGTCTTGTAAAATTAATATTGACGCATTTGTGTACTATAAAATCGATGGTAGGGACATTAAGTACCACGTGTAACACTCTAGGACTAGGTCGTTCTTAAAGAAGAAATGCTTGTCATTGTAATCAAATAAACAACCATTAAC